CTGGGTAATGTTATTGAATACTTTTTTATTGTTATCTGTGATAAAATGCCATTTATGTAACCAATAAGACATAGCGTGGCCGTTGAGCCAAGTTTGTGGTTTACCTTTGACCGTAGTTAAAACAAATGTGATCAATGAACAATTGGTGTTACAGCTGGATACAAGCAGGACATTGTAAGAAGAGTCTTGAAATCTTTAGTTGAAGTCTTTCTCACCACTGTACTGAAGCTGAAAGTGTTTCAAAGCTAGTAGGCAGCCTTCTTTAGATGTATCTTATTCACTTGAAATTAAAGACAGAAGCTCTCCTAATCACAAAAATTCTTTTGCCATAATTAATAACTTGGGATTTTTAAATTGCTTTTGAGTACAGTAAGAAAATTAAGGAAATTACACATTTTGGATGTGCTCAGTACCTTACAACAGGAATAGTTTCAGCTATGTCTGTCAAAATGATAGGTATGCTCTACCTTTGATTTGAATACCCACTGTCTCTTCTGGTATATATCAAATCCCAGAGCTGAAGCTCCTCAGGGATATGGTACTGCTGGTTCTGTTATAAAAATGAGTCAATAAATGTATAGGCTGGAAGTGGCATTTACCAAGGAAATATGCCTGAAATGAAATGAAGACCTACTTTCTAATGTGCTTCTTTTTTAATCCTCTGCATACTGTGATGGAATCATAGGTTGATGCTCCAGGCTTCCCCTTGAATGAATGCCTGTGGGCTAGGCTAGAAGCTGTTTTCTTTGAGGTTTGTCTCCTGTCCAAACCCATGGGAAGCCCAAGCTCCTTTCGTTTTCATTCTTTTCTAACTCTAGTGCTTTTGAACAGAGAACCTCCATCCTCCCACCACCCAAACTCCACATTCCAACCCCGTGATTTCATGGTACCCAGCATGTCTCCCCTGCCATGCCGTCAGGCCGCCTGCTGACTCTTGCAGAGGGAACAGACGGGAACATAAACTCACTGCAGAAGAGCAGGACACTCTCTGTATATTTTTAAGACCAGGTATCCAGTTCCCATTTAGAGGCTGTATTTTTTTAATAGTGCCTTGAAAATTGAACAAAACACTTCTTGTTAGTCTCGTTGCTTGATAATATCATTCCCTCTGCGCTAATGTATAGAGGGAACTAGAGAATGAAAAAGATGTATTAGATCATTTCTAGCCCATTCCCACTGGTCACGATACTTTTTTCCCACAGTCTCTTCTCTGGTGCTTTTCTCTTCTAGTTTTCTCAAAGATTTGTTTTCTCCATTTCTCCTGGGGAATAATTTGAAGATGGAGAAATATATGTGAAAATATTCCTATTTTTTTCAGCTTAAAATTCTTAGTCTTTATAATCCTTTACATTACCATAAACAGTCCCTTATCTTCCTAGGTCACGTGTTTCAGGATGGTATTTTTTTCCTTTCCATTTATTAACTTCAGAGTTTGTTTTTCTGCTTTGCTTTCTCCCTTCATCAATCAGTCCCTAAAGCCCATTAATCATTTCTTACTGCACTGAAAATTCCTTTGCTTATTCCCATATCAGGAATCCAGAGCTGGTTAAGGTCCCTAGGTCCTGGAGGAAGCCTCAGTAATAGGTACTCATTCTATGCTAACTTCTCTCTCTGTCTCAATTCTCAAGTAGGAATTATTTTTAAAATACTGTTTCTAGATTATGATCTGGGGATTTCATCACTTGAAAGCCTTTTCTGTGTGTGTTTGTGATTTTGAGTGTAAGATTATGTTTGTTCTCAATTACCTGAAGGATATTTTTCATATCCTCAAAGCCAGAAATCATTTGGGTCTCCTCCTGAGTTCTTGGATCAAGCCCAATTCTGGACCATGGAACTATGATGTAGCATTCTGTTTTAGGGCTGCCATCTTAGGAGTTGAGAGGAAAATAGACTGTATTTGTAGGATTTGGAATACTTGGGGAAAAGGTAGTGCCAAATTTAAGTAGCCTTGGCACTCACATATCAAAAGTAGATTAGCTCTCAGGAGCTAGCATTAGGTATAAAAAAGACTTCACATGGCTTGTGGCTTCCTGGATTGGAGGACTTAATATTATAAAGATGTCAGTTCTCCCCGAAACAATCTTTAGATGCAGTGTGATCCCAGTCAGCAACGTCAACCGACACTTGCAGCTTCTAATCTGATCTAAAAAGAAGAAGAAAAAAATGAACAGGATTTTTTGTTTTTTACCTCTTGGGACTTGACAAGATGATTCTAAAATATATTGATATAAAGGGCCAAGGATGAATAAAGTACTCTTGAAGAAAAAGAAGGTGGAAAGCCTTGCTTTAGTAGGTCCCAAGATGTATTTTTAAAAAGCAATGTGATACTGACACAGTTACAGACAGATAGACTAATGAGTCAGAATTGAAAGACCAGACCCTTTCCAGATTCTTCTTACAGGGATGCTTGATTTATGATGGCGATGGCATTTCAAAGCAGTGGGAAGAGACAGTCTTTTCAATAAATGGTGCTAGAATAATCAGATATTCATATAGGAAAAAAAGAAGAAATTAGATGCTTACCTCACACCATATGCAGAAAACTCCAGATGGATACAGACCTAAATGTGAAGAGTAAAGATAAAACTTTAAAGCGCACACACACACACATTGTATATATGCATGTGTGTGTGTCTAGCTATATGTATATAGCCATATATGCACACACCACACACACACACACACACGTGCACCTTCATAACTGTAGGGTATTGAAAGATTTCTTCTATGATACAATAACCTGTTATCAGAAGTTATATATTTGATTCATAAAATTAAGTACTTGTCTTTATCAAAAGATAAGATAAAGAAGACAGCCATACAATAAGACAATATTTGCTCTACATGTAATTGAAGAATATTAGCATCTAGAATATGTACAGATTCTTAAATCAATAAAAGACAATCCAATCTGAGAAAAACAGGCAAAATAATTTAAATAGGCTTTTCATAGAAGAGGAGGTAAAAATAGCTAGTAATCATAAAAAAAGTCCCCAACTTCTTTAATAATCAGAGAGAATTAAACCATAATGAGATTCTACCTCATTTCCATCAGATTAGCTAAAAATAAAAAGATTGCTAATACCAAGTGTTGATGAGGATATGGAACAACAGGAACTTGGTAGAAAGTGTATAATGTTACATACTTAGGAATAGTTCACCACATTGAAGTACTACAGTTGAAGATACATATACATACCTTATGACTCAGCAATTCTGCTCCTAGATATATACACTAGAGAATCTTGGCTCACTAAGATACCTGTATAATAATGGTCTTTTTTGTCCCCGTAATTTTTTATTTTGCAAATTTTTAAACTCACTGAAAAATTGCAAAATTAATACAACGAATATGATAACGTCTTAATAGATGGTAGCTAAGCAAAGCATAGTAGCTAGTAGAGAGAACGTACATGGGCTTTGAAGTCAGTGATATATGGCTTGAAACTTCAACTCCACCACTTACTAGCTGTGTGACCATGGGCAAGCTAATGAAATCTGTGAGCCTCATGTCTCTCATCTATACACTGGAGGTAATAATATACCTACCATATTAGGTATTATAAGGATTAAATGCATTAATATAAGTAAAGCACTGGGCATGAATGCTTGCAACATAGTAGTTGTTCAGTAAATTATTGCTGCTTTTGTTGTTTTGTTTTGGTGGTGGTTAAAAATGATAATGATGCATTTTATTTTCTCAGGGCCTTTTAGTTACAGCATATTACTGATACATACTCATTTTTGGTTTTTCACGATGGAATGTATTACAAAATAATTCAGGGGAAAAGCAGCAATTTTTTTTAGTTTGTATTGCATTTTTTTTCTTTTCATTTTCCTATTATAACTTCAGCATTAGGAAGTACAAACCAAAGGGAAAATATGACCAGGGTGCAAATGTTTTTTATAATTTAAATAATTATATAGAATTAAAATTTCCTTTTGAAGAATTGAAAACCCAAATATGATTTTATTAAAAGTAAAAGGAAACCAAGGCATAGAAAATTTAAATAACCTTTTTAAGAAGTAATATTAGAAATAGAGTATATATTTTCTAATTTCTATCCCAAGATCTCATACACTAAATTATGATATCAAAAATATAAACAAAAATCTTAAGGCAATAGCAGTAGCCTTTAGCACTAATGCTAAGGCCTTCATTTCCTTAGCTGCAAAATAAATTAAATCACATGAAAAACTCTCGAGGCCCCTTTAATCTCCAGTGAAATTTGATTCTATGCTGAAGGCCTCCTCATTGACCACCAAACCTCAGTTACCTTTTCCTCTTGGGAATTTCTCTCTGAACCCTATTCTGTATCATTCCAAACTGGTCATGATCATGTTACCATGTTATACCTTTACTTGCCTTTTCATAAACAATATCGTCTATCTCCTATTACATCACATTCTCTTGGGGATGCAGATCTTTTCCTTTTTTTTCTTTCTTTCCTTTTTTTTTTTTTTTTTTGAGACGGGGTCTCGCTCTGTTGCCTAGGCTAAAGTGCAATGGCATGATCTTGGTTCACTGCAGCCTCCACCTCCTGGGTTTAAAATTCTCCCACCTCAGCCTCCCAAATAGCTGAGATTATAGGCGCACCACCACGCCCAGGTAATTTTTGTATTTTTAGTAGAGACCGGGTTTCACCATGTTGGCCAGGCTGGTTCCAAACTCCTGACCTCAGGTGATCCACCCTCCTTAGCCTCCCAAAGTGCTGGGATTACAGGCATGAGCCACCATGCCCAGCTGCAGATCTTTTCTTATGTGTCTTTATATTTGTATACGTTTGAGTGTAAAAACATTTTTAATATCTATTTTTTTTTTGTCCCTAGTAGCACCTAGCATAGTGATTTACAGAGTAGGCCCAAAATAGATGGATGATGATGACTGTCAGATTGTAGTTTACAAAAATATAACTAGCTCCCATAGCTATGATAACATGGGCATAGGATTCATGGGATTCTGCCTCAAAAGCAAATATGTTTGTTTTCCTTTGTTCCAGAAAGACAGCAAGAAGCGAATATTTTCTGGCATTCAACCTACAGGAATCCTCCACCTGGGCAATTACCTGGGAGCCATTGAGAACTGGGTGAGGTTACAGGATGAATATGACTCTGTATTATACAGCATTGTTGACCTACACTCCATTACTGTCCCCCAAGACCCAGCTGTCCTTCGGCAGAGCATCCTGGACATGACTGCTGTTCTTCTTGCCTGTGGCATAAACCCGGAAAAAAGCATCCTTTTCCAACAATCTCAGGTCAGCTTCTCAGATTAGAACTGAGAAAACTTTTATTTGCAGATTATTTGAGGAGAAAATGTTGAATGGTTCACACAGCCCCTGCTTGTGATTTTTAAAAAGTATTTGAAGGTGACTTTTTCAAATGTGATTTTTTTTTCAGCTTAATGTTTTACTTGTATTTATATCATTAACTATCATTATATTGTAAGAGTATTTTTCAGCTTTTCCTCTACTGTATTTGGTAAGTTTATGATGCTTCATATACCAAAGAGTTGTGTTTCATGAGTACTTCTAGCCCTGGAGTTGTTTTGCTATGCTGGGTTGCTTTCAAACTGATTACTTTGTATTGTTGACTAATCTCCTTGTGATCAGGGATAGAAATTAGTGACCAATAGTTTTATGTAATTCCAATGTTGCTTTATTAGATGTTGTATTTGGAAGGTCCGTTGGATAATTCCCACTGTTCATTCTTTGTGTAATAGTTTTTGAGAAGATTTGATAGCACAAGTTGAGAAATTGGAAGACAAAGTTTCAGTGTCTTGTGTCTAAGCCAAGAAAGGCTTCATAGTAAAGCCAAAATATTTGACTCATATCTTCACTATGGATGAATCAGTTTATTCTTGGACAGGCAGATAGTCTGGTCTAGAGACAAGGCAATCAAGATACACCCTAGAAAAAGATAAAAATTCTAACTAGATCGTGCCTTCATTATGTATCTGCTTTAACCTTAGGACAAAGCCCAGCCAAGGAATGGTATGTTATACATGCTATGGTATATGTTAACATGCGTGCATATATGTAACCTTCTTTGATTGTACATTTCTATCATTATTTTTATATATGTTTTGTTATACATAAAACTTAATGTAACGATTCTTACAGAGCAGACTGTTAAAAAATATGTGATAAATGAAAAGAGTATAATGATCCCTTGGCATCCAAAGAGTGTTGGTTCCAGGACCACCAAAGCTACCAAAATCTGCAGATGCTCAAGTTCCTTATATAAAATGGAATCATATTTGCATATAACCTACACATATTCTCTCGTATACTTTAAACCATCTCTACATTACTTGTAATAACCTAATACAGTATAAATGCTATGCAAATAGTTGTTATACTGTATTGTTTTTTAATTTGTATTACTTTTCTATTGTGGTATTGTTATTTTTTGATGCCTAAATTCACACTAATTTCATATATATATATTAATTTTTTAAATTTTTAGAGATTAGGAGGCTGTATGTGCAGTTTTGTCACATGAATATGTTGTGTAGTGGTGAAGTCTGAGCTTTTAGTGTCCCTGTCACCTGAATAGTGAACATTGTACTCAATAGGTGATTTTTCAACCAACATCCTCTTCCCCACTTTTGGAGTCGCTCTGTATGTCCATGTGTACCTATTGTTTAGTTCCCACTTATAAGTGAGAATATGCAGTATTTGTTTTTCTGTTTCTGAATGATTTCACTTAGGGTAATGGCCTCTATTTCATGTTGTCCTCCATGTTGCTGCAAAAGACATGATTTCATTCCTTGTTATGACTGTGTAGTATTCCATAGTGTATATATAGTGGTGGTGTTATTTTTTATTTGTTGTTTTTTCCTAATAGTTTCAATCTGCTGTTTGGTTGAGTCCATGGATGCAGAACACACAAATTCAGAGGGCCAACTCTATGTTTAAAAAATAAATGCAGTTATCAACTTTGTTGCCAGCTTGGAGATAATTTGATAAAATAATAGAATCTGATCATTAAAAGGACCATAAAGGCAATTTACGTCAACTTCATTCCTTATAGTTGGTCAGGAAGGCTTTACTTGCACATGACTTTTCAAATTCAGTGTTGGACAAATCCAGTTACTATAAAATACTAGCTTTTATTGACTGAATATCTACCTCCATATAATTTCCATTCGTTCATTTAATTTCTGCTCTGTAAAAAATACAATAAATCAACTCTGCTTCCACACAACTGCTCTTCAAATACTTGGAAAGACATTTATTATGTACCATTTGTATCTTACTCTGTAGGTCCTTACCGTATAGGTCTTTCCTTCTACAAACTAGCTATCCCAAGGTCTCTCGCCTTCTTGGTCATCCTGTCTCAAAAGCACTCTCACCTTTCTGAAAAGAGCGTGCCTCAAGCTTCACATCCATTGCCAGCGTTGGAGAGCTGTTCATCATTAGAGCCACTTTTTGAGTCACCTAATGCATTTTGCAAAGCACATCATCTTCACTTCATCTAAGCTGTTTTCAATACAAGCTGGCTTTTGATCCTTATCAGATACTATTTCTAAAAATTATATTCCCAGCCACAAGTACCTATTTCCATACTTCTTGTGGATGAATGTCTAATCTCCACAAAGTAACCATTTGCCAGATTGCTTTTTAAAATGATCTTTAATATTAAAGACTTATTTACAACTACATCCTATACTTGCACTTTGAACTCAATCTCCCAGGAATGATTACCATATTATAATTTTTTTCTACTTTGTAAAGGATTTTAGCAGTGACCTTCATAAGCATCTAAAATTTGCAATAATCGAGATATTTTCTTCCATGTGGTACATTGTTGTTCAAAATAGCAATTGAAAAAGTAACCCACTATATGGGAGACTTTGTAAAGACTTCCCCATAAAGGAGGGACAAAATTCACCTTCTCTTAAAATGGAACCTCATGAGCTCATTGGGTCTAGGTCAGAGAGTGGAAGGGGCAGAGTTGACTGGTGTGTGCCTATCTTCTCCTTATAGCTTTAATGCAGTTGTAAAGCTGTTTAATCATTCGCCTCTTTGCCATCCCTCACTTCAGCTCCATTGTGGAGAATTTTCATAGTTTGCCCGCAAAATTTAAGGGAGGCACTCATCTTGCCTACATTATACAATTTGTGTCACAAAGGCAATATGAAAAATTTCCTCAGGTGTCTTTGTAACCTAAGATAAACTTGGTTCTTAGCCATTTCATTCTTTGACTCAGGCAACCAACCTTATTACAACTCTATGGATGGATGGATGGATGGATGGATGGGATATTTTATCAGGCTGTCTTTCCCCCTTTTTAAAAAAATGTAATTTAATTTAAAAATGTTTTTAACAATTTATAACAATAGAATAGTATACTGTACCCCATCTCTGGTTAACATTTTGTTATTTATCTCACTGATGTTACTTTCTTTTCTTTTTTTTTTTCTTTTTTGAAAGAGAGATAGGGTCTTGCTCTGTTGCCCAGCCTGGAGTGCAGTGGTGTGATCATAGCTCACTGCAGCTTCAAACTCCTGGGCTCAGCATCCTCCTACATTAGCCTCCTGAGTAATAGCTGGGACTTCAGGTGTATTCCAGCATACCTGGCTTTTTTTTTTTTTTTTTTTTTTTTTTTTTTTGAGAAATGGGTCTCACAATGTTGCCCAGGCTGGTATCAAACTCCTGGGCTCAAGTGATCCTCCCAACTTGGCCTTCCAAAGTGTTGGGATTATAGGAATGAGCCACTGTGCCTAGTCGATGTTATTTTCTTTGTTGAAGTATTTCAAAGCAGATACTGCACATCATGGCATTCCAATTCCTAAATATTTTAGCGTGCCACTATAAATCTGGGAAATTTTCTTACTTTACCATAATACTGTAATGACACGTAACAATGATCATTCCATATTATCATCTAAAACCCAAATTACCCTGACTCTCCCAAAAATGTATTTTATAGTAGGCTTGTTTGAGTGAAGATCTGCCAAGGTTCACATATTACATTTGATTATGGATCTTAAGTCTCTTTTCTTTATGCCTTTTGATTTGTTCATCACACTTTATTTCCTGTAAAGTTAGTCCTGTGCTTAAAAATAATTAAAACTTTGATTTTTTATGCTTCTACTTTTTTTCTCACCTTTGATGTATTGATCAAGTTTTCTTTTGTTTTCTATAAAGTTAGTTCTTTTGAACTTCAAAATCTTAGTTTTTTAATTACTTTCTCTTTACCACTAATCTGTGTTAGCTGATGGTTAGTGACTATAAACTACTGTCCCACATAGTTGCTCCTCACCATTTTCATTAATTTGAGTAGAAGCTGTGCTTATCTACTGCCCATGGATTACCTAGAAATGACCATTAGACATCAGCTCCATTAGAGTGGCCATAATGCTTCAGTTTGCTCATGGATGCTGATGGAAAGGTCCTCCTCATGCCTTATCTTACAGCCATGAAGGCATGTATTGGCTTTTGCTTCTTAGAACCGTTTTCAGGTAGAAGTATAAGTGAATAAACCAGTCTTCTGGAAACAGTTATTATCTTAGCCACATGACCCCATTATTTACAGAGTTCTAGTAGGTGAAAAATCATCATGGCGATGACTTAGGTTTTGTAATACAAAAATCAATAATCAATAACTGTCTTTTTTTCTTTTTTATTTTCTTCTTTTAACAGGCAATGCTAGGAAGAATTTTTTCTTTTTTCTTTATTTTAAATTGACAAATAAAAATTGCATATATTTATGGTGTACAACATATGCTTTGAAAGATGTATACATTGCAAAATGGCAAAATCAAGCTATATAACATATCTATTACCTCACATACCTATCTTTAAGTGATTTTCAGATATACAATACATTATTATTAACTATGGTCACCATGTTGTACCAGAGATCTCTTGAACTTATTCCTCTTGTCTAACTGAAATTTTGTGTCCTTTGACCAACATCCTCCCATTTCCTCTTGCCCCATTCTACTCTGCTTCTATGAGCTCGATTTTTTTTTTTAAATTATACTTTAAGTTCTAGGGTACATGTGCATAACGTGCAGGTTTGTTACATATGTATACTTGTGCCATGTTGCTGTGCTGCACCCATCAACTCGTCAGCACCCATCAACTCGTCATTTACATCAGGTATAACTCCCAATGCAATCCCTCCCCCCTACCCTCTCCCCATGATAGGCCCCGGTGTGTGATGTCCCCCTTCCCGAGTCCAAGTGATCTCATTGTTCAGTTCCCACCTATGAGTGAGAACATGCGGTGTTTGGTTTTAAGAAAATATGAGCTTGAGTTTTTT